TACATACACAAATATATACATGAAAACTGAAGAGAGGCTTGGGAAGAGGAGGATCTGGTGGGAGGGTAGTAAGATAATGGGAGGCAGGGCTTAACGTTGCACATCGGAGGCAGGTGGATCTCTGTGAGTTCAAGGCCAGCATCGTCTGCAGAACTAGCTTCAGGATAGTCAGAGCTACACAGAGAAACCCTGTATCAAAAAAAAAAAAAAAAAAAAAAAAAAGAAGAAGAAGAAGACAGTGAGTGGAGCCTGCTCAAATAACATTATACATGCATGAAATTGTAAAGGAATAAACAAAACCCAGAAAATTAAAAAGAGAGGGCTTGAAAATGGCTCAGCTGTTAAAGAGTGCACCGCTCTTCCAGAGGACCCAAGTTCAGCTCCCAGCATCCAGGTCTGGCTGCTCACAACCACCCGTAAATCGTTTCCAGCAGATCTGGTGTCTTCTCTGGCCTCCACAGGTACCCACACAACATGGCATGTACAAGTACACATATACACAAACACAGAAAGATAGTTTTTGTTGTTTTAAGTAAAATTTAACCCAGCTAGATTTTACTTATTTCGTTATTTTGGGTTTTGGAGACAGGGTTTCTCTATGTAGCCCTGGCTGTTCTGGACATGGTTTGTGGACCAGGCTGGCCTCAAACTCACAGAGATCTGCCTGCCTTTGCCTCCTGAGTGCTGGAATTAAAGGCACGCACCACCACTCCTGGCTGTTTTTTGTTGTTTTGTTTTTTTCTTAATAATCCTATATTCACCTTGCCTGGCTTTTAAAGATTATTTTAAATGGAACTATTGCAATTATGAGGGCTTTGGACCTACTCCATGAAGGAGGGATTCTGACCCTAAGACAAGATCTTCAAGAGTCCCGAAGGTAAAAATGTTTTTCTGTTTGTTTGTTTGTTTGTTTGTTTGTTTTTCTCCACTGGTGAGAGGAAACAGGCCAGGAGGAACTTGAAGAGAGGATATTTGATCCCTCTGTGAACGCTGAGATTGTGGTATTTACTGGAAAAACCTGTTTCTAGTTGTGGTGTGGCTCAGCCTTAGCACACACCTTTAATCGAAGAGTTTTCTACTTGAAAACTGTAAGTAGGATTAAATAAAGTCAACCTCAGGTCAAGCGGGGAAGCAAGCAACCAGTTGACAGGAAGTGAACCTACGTTTATGAAGAAAAAAAAAAAAAACAGAGAGGAAGTCGGGAGGACAGATAGAGAGATGCACAAGAAGTAGAGGTCGGGACATTCATTTTGAGGGGTCTTGTTGGAGCCGGCTCAGGAGAAGGGTGGGCATTCCTTCTGGGATTGAGAAAGAAGGTCGCCGGGTGCTTTCTCTGCCTCTCTGAGCTAGCAAGCTTTCACCCCAGCATCTGGTTCCAGAGTTCTCAAACATTAGATTTTTACCAATTTTGTTAAAAGACAACAACAAAACCCAGCAACAACAGAAGCGAGATTAGCAGCAAAAGCATGGCAAATTGGTGGGGATCGGTAAATGGGAAATATGTGGCTCTAATCCAGCCCATTTCATGAGGGGCTTTTGAGGAAGAGGAGGGAAGAGCAGGCTCACACTGAGAATGGGTCAGAGTTCAGGGACCCAGGGGAAAGGGAACAGGAAGCTAATCCAAAGCTTGATTGGCAGGGACAAGAAGGTCAGCTAAGCTTTTATGAGGCAAAGAACTGGAATTTGGAATCTGTCTGGTTTCATCACGGGTAAACAAGGCGCACTCATGACTCTTATGTAAGTCGGATGAGTAAAGCTGCTTCTACGCAGTGGACTCTGTTCCGGACCGCGGGGCAATGGTGGGGAGCCCTTACCCTTCACAGCTGTGCTGGATCGCGGGGCTCTGGTCCAGCTCCACTTTCTGCCCTAGCATCTCATGACAAACGCATACAAGGCCTCTCATGAGACCAGGCTGGCCTTAAACTTGTTTTACAATTCCTGATCCTCCTGCCTCTACTGCCGTGGTGCTGGGATCACAGACATTATGCAGTGTTGAGAACTGACCTCAGGGGCTTCATGCGTGCTAGGCCAGGCAAGTACTCTATCAAAGGAAGCCATGTCTCAGCCCTGTTTGCTTGATTTTATGTTTTATTACCGTACATTGATTATACATTAGTTTTCTTTTGACATTTTACACAGGTATATAATGCATTTTTACTATTCTCATCCCTTCTGCTGCCCTCTGTGTCCTCCTCCTACCCCACTGACTCCTTTTTTCCTAGTTAGTGCCCTTTCTATTTCCTTATCTTTAAAAAAATTTTTATGTGTATGGCTGCTTTGCCTGCATGTATATCTATACACCGTGTGCATATCTGGTCCCTGCGGAGACCAGAAGAAAGCATTTGCATCTCCTGTAACTGGGGTTACAGACAGCTGTCAGCTGCCTTGTAGGTGCTGAGAATCAAACTCAGGTCTTTTTTTTTTTTTTTTTAAGATTTATTTATTTTATTATGTATACATAATATATGCATGTACACCTGAAGGCCAGAAGAGGGCACCATATCTCATTATAGATGGTTATGAGCCACTGCATGGTGGCTGGGAATTGAACTCAGGACCTCTGGAAGAGCAAACAGTGCTCTTAACCTCTGATCCATCTCTCCAGCCCCCAAACCCAGGTCTTTTGCAAAAGCAACGAATACTCTTAACTGCTGAGCAATCTCTGCAGCCTCTAACTCTTTATATTTTCACGGCTGGTTTTTGTTTCTTTGTTTTGGTGAACCAATGAGTTTCTTTTAAGGTCCTTTACATGAGCATAGGTGAGGGGTGTTTACAGGAGCATTGACACCTTACCAGTGGCTGTGCTACTCTTCCTGAGATGGCTCAGAGATTAAGAGCACTGGCTGCTCTTCCAAACGTCCTGAGTTCAATTCCTAGCAACCACATGGTGGCCCACAACCATCTATAATGAGATCTGGTGCCCTCTCTGGAATGCAGGCGTCCATGCAGGCAGGACACTGTACACATAATAAATCTTTAAAAAAAGAAAATGTTTCTTCCTCCCTATAGTGTGATTTTTTTTTCTGGGAGAAATGAAAACAGTTGTCTACTTGTCCTAGACAGGGAACCAATGATAGACAAGTCTGCATAAAATTAACTGGCAATGATTCTCCCAATGTCTAATTTAGTGGGGTTACTTACAGGAGTATAGATGACTCCAAAGTAGTCAGTTGTATTACTGTAGAATTACCCATGGAAAAGCCACCCCAGCATGGGTGACGAGTTACAAAAGCTACGTCTCTAGAGTTCTCTGCTGGGCTTGCAGGCAGCTGGACAGGTCGGAGAGTTCGCTTGGGGAGGGGACTTGGTGAATCTTGTATGTTTTAGGAACTGAGACTTTTGAGTTGTTTACTTTTCTAAATTTTGTTCCAATTTTTATTTTGTATGTACAATTGTTTTGCTCGCAAGTATATCTGTGTATCACGTGTGTACTTAGTGCCCTCAGAGGACAAAAGAAGGCATCAGATCCCTTGGAATTAGAGTCACAGGTAATTGTGAACTGCCCTGTGGGTGCTAGGAATTGAACCTAGGTCCTCTGGCTCTTAACCACTGTGTCATCTCCCCAGGCCCCATTGTTTACTTGGGGAGTCTTAAGGACTATCCACACAGGATAGAATGGTTCAATGCAGAGATAACCATCCCTACCGTCAACCACCAACTGTATAAAAATTCTTAGGGAGTGGTGGGGTGCCGGAGCCAGCCAGCAGAGTCGAACGGTTCTTGAGTTGGGAGTGAGGATTAAAATTAATAAAACAAACACACAGCACACAGGAAACTTTTTAAAGGTCCAGACTCGACAGCCATGGCAAAAAGCAGGCTGCTGCAGCAAGCAGTGCCAGCAGCAAGTCTCAAGTCTCTGCCTGCCTCCTCTGCCTCCAGCCCTCTTCTCTAGCTCCTCCCCTCTTTCCTGTCCTCTGGCTCCTCCCATCGCACAACATTGTATCTAGTTGCTTATTTGTGTCCTGTTTACATAAGAGTCAGCCTTCTTCTGCAGTAACTGTCGGCCTGTCTTTTTATTGTAGTTTCTAAGCCAGAGTAGAAATATCTCAGAACAATGGTTTATTTCCAAGAGGAGTCTGAGGAAGAGGTGTGATCCTCACAAACTATCCTACCTGCTGTCACAAACAAAAGGAGATGGACTTGCAAGTTCTCTGTCATTAGTAAAGGCCTGCTAAAAGCCATCTCTCCACCGAGATTTAAATATCAAAGCCGGCCGCTTGGAGTCACAGCCGCTTGGAGTCAGTGGGGTCTCATGAGCCTTTCCCTCCTCCATAACAGGAAGCTGAAGGGCCTAATTTGGGGCAGATCTGCAGTTGTTATGAGTTCAAGAATGCAACCACCACCTGCTGCTTTTGAAGATGTGGTTTAGGATTCCAGAACCACCTGCCAGCTCTGGTTTCGGAAGCTCCAGCGCCCTCTTATGGCATCCCTGAGCACTGCACACAGGTGTTGCACTTAAAGCGAACACAGAATCTGTACTGTTTGAGGGGGACACAGACATGGTGTAGAGAGGTGGCCCACTGCTGGCACTAGGAGTTTCATTTAATAACCTCTGGCTCCTGGGAATACTCTTCTCCATCCATGCGCGTACCTGTTTTTATTCTGTTCTTTTGTTGTTGTTAAATTTATGTGTATGAGTTTTGCCTGCATGTACGTAGGTGCACTTCCGTGTGCGTCTGGTGCCTCTAGAGGTCAGTGGAGGGTATCCAATCTCCTGAAACTGGAGTGATGGATGGGTGGGTGGCCTGCCTCATATGTGGGTGCTGGGAATCCAACCCGAGTACTCTGTGAGGGCAGTAAGTGCTCTGCGCTATCTCTTCATCCTTCACACCCTCCCCACAAGTCACGGTCTCTGACTTAGCCCTGGCTGGTCTAAAAACCCACTATGTAGACCAAGCTGGTTTTGAACTCGTCTAGGTCTGTTTGTCTCTGCCTCCCAAGCGCTGGGATTAAAGGCGTGCGCCTCCACGACCGGCCTCTTCAACTTTTGTTTTGGATCCCGTCTTGTTATGTAGCACTGGTTGGATTGATACTGTATAGTCCAATCTTGCATCAGGCTCCCGCCACCTCCCGGTACAGCCTCCGGGTGCTCCACACTGGTTTCTCCTTAGAGCCTCTCGCATGCTGGGCCCGCTATCACGGAGCTACAGCCCGGCCCATCAGAAGAGTTTCCAGCACCTGTGGATCTGGACAAACGGTTTCCGTCCAAGAGCAACTAAAACATAGCTGGAAGGACCAAAGGATCACAGATTTCCGCACGCCAAAGACCGAGACGCGGTGTTCTCGCGAGAGTTGACCCCAGGCAGTCATGTGACAATCCAAGATGGCGATGCCCAGGGAGGCGGACGAAGAGTCGGTGGTTTACCTGGTGGTGAGTGGGATTCCTCCTGTGTTACGCTCGGCCCAGTTACGGAGCTACTTTAGCCAGTTCCGGGAACAGCGCGGCGGAGGTTTCCTGTGTTTCCACTACCGGCATCGGCCCGAGAGGGGCCCTCCTCAGTCGATTCCTGACGAGGCCCGAGCTGCCCCCGACCCTGCTGTCGAGGATCCGGTTCTCTCCCAGGCTACCGCCCCTGATGCCCGCACTGTCCCCGCCCGGGACTCTGCTCCGGTTCAGACTCTGCTCCGCACCTGCTGCTGTGTGGTCTCGGTGAGGGGAGTGGCGCAAGCCCAGCGGCTGCTTCGCATGTACTCGGGCCGCCGGTGGCTGGACTCTCAGGGGACCTGGCTTCCGGGTCGTTGTCACATCCGCAGGCTGAGACTACCCACTGAGGCTTCAGGTAAGAGGGAGAGAGAATGGATTGGATTTACGGCTCTTAGAAAGGAGGCACATTTCCTGGGTAGTGAAGATAGATCTCTCGTTACCACTGTTCAGGAGCTTGAGGCAACTTTGGAGAAAGTTTTCAGCCCAAGTCGCCTGTTATTTTCACTCAGGGACTTAAAGGGCAAAAATACAAAACAAATATATAAGATATATATAAGATGACTTACAAGTTTATCCCTTCTTAGGACCATTCCTCTGATGGGTTGATTTTGCACTGGCAGGATTTCTTTAAAAGGAAATTTGAAGCCGGGCGTGCTAAAGCATGCTTTTAATCCCAGCACTCAGAAGGTAGAGGCAGGTAGATCTCCAGGCCAGCGAGTTTCAAGCCAGCCAGGGCTAGACAGAGAAACCCTGTCTCCAGACAATTAAACAAAGGAATATGGCTTTCTTAGCTAACATAAGCGGCTGGAAGACTTGATCTGTAGAGGGAAATCACAGTTGCCCTTACTACAGGACTTAAACCTTGGGCCTCAGGAGGCAGCAGAAGGGGGCGGGGCACTTGTGTCCTTCCTTACAAAGAGTCTTTAAGGAGAGTGATGTCACCCTAGCACTTGGGAAACAGAGGCAGGTGGATCTGTTAACTTTGTAAGTTTGAGGCAGCTCTGACCCTGTCTGTAAACAAACAAAGGAATGAATGAATAGTAAATCAAACCAGTGTGTCAGTTCAGAGTAACAGTTGCTAAAGGAGTGCAAGGTTTGGGCAGAGTCCTTAGGAACAATGTCTTACCAAGGTGTACTGCATGAGCTGCTTCTCCAGGTGTGTCTCAATCTCTTTATAGTCTGTGCTGGCCTTAAACTCTGTGGATGTTAGAATGACCTTGAATCAGACATGGTAGTGCACTCTAATTTCAGAAGAGGTAAGCAAATCTGACCTGGATCTCTGGGACCCACATAGTAGAAGGAAAGAAATGACTACAGCAAGTCTGGCCTCCATAGATAAAACACTGTGGTGTGCGCGCACACAACAAAGAAATCGTAATTTTTTTGAAAAAGTCATTCGCTGTGCTCGGCACACCAGATATGTGCAGTGGGAACTGGTGACCGCTCTGGGCTCGGAATATAGTTGACTTAAGGTGATGGTTGTAGCTCTAGTACCAATAAAAGCTGGTCACCAGGAGGCAAATGCTGAGGAAATTGTGTGTTCCCTCTCGGGAGATGGTGAAGCCCACTCAAATTACTGCCCTGGCAGAGGACTGTGAGTTTCCAGCACCCATGTGGCAGCTCGGAACTGCTCGTAACTCCACTCTCAGGGGGTTAGCCCTCCACAGGCTCCTTTGTGCTTGCGGTGCACATACATGCAGACACCCGGGGACACCCACAAGGATGATTGTGTAATCTGCACTTATTTATTTTGTGGGAGCGTACAGGTGACACTAGGGTAGGGGTGAGATGGCAGCTTGTGGGAGCCAGTTCTCTAACTCTGCCATGTGGATTCTGGGGTCAAAGTCAAGTTACCCAGCTTGGAGGCAAGTTCATCTTGTTAGCCTTTTTTGTTTTTTTCTGTTTTTTTGAGGCAGGGTTTCTCTGTCGGGTAGGAAACAGCTTTAAACTGGGACTTACTTCTGGCTTGATTATTGCTAAAATCTTCTAGGGTTTTAACATCCATCCTTCTCTCTCCTTCCTAAGATCTGGGGTCCTTTCCCTTTAAGACCCGGAAGGAACTGCAGAGTCGAAGGGCAGAGAATGAAGTTTTTACCCTGGCGGACCTGAGGCAGCTCCCCGAGCTGAACCCACCAGCGCTGATGCCCAATGGCAACGTGGGCACGCCCCTACGGGTCTTTTTGGAGCTGATCCGGGCCTGCCGCCTACCCCCTCGAATTATCACCCAGCTGCAGCTCCAGTTCCCCAAGACAGGCTCCTCCCGGCGTTATGGCAATGTGCCCTTCCAGTACGACGACTCAGAGACTGTGGAGCAGGAAGAGCATGTGTACACGGCCGACGGGGAGGAAATCCCCCAGGGTACCTGCCTGGAAGATCCAGCAGCCAGCCCCTTCGATGAGCCAGACGACAAAGGGCAGCAGGAAGAGGAAGAGTCTCACTCAGAAGATGTGAGTACCGCAGCACCCTGCAGAGGCCGGTCAGGGCTGGGGCGGAGCTCGTTGGGTGGACTGCTTAGCTGGGGAGCCCAAAGCCCTGAGTTTGAATCCCAGGCTGCATAAACCTGCCAGGGTGGTACCTATCTCTAATCCCAGCCCTAGGGGAGTTGGGGGCAGGAGGATCAGAAGTTCAAGGTTGTCTTCAGCTGCATAGAGAGTTCAAACCCAGCCTGGGGATGCATGCAACTGAGTTAAAAAAAAAAAAAAAAAAAAAAAGACAGGCCAAGGCATTAATGCTACTGTCCTGTCAGATAAAGGGCCGCGCCCCCCCCCCCCCCCCCCCATGGAGTAGAGTAGAGCTAGGAAGGGACCCTGAGAAGGCTTCTCCAACCTCTGGGCTTCCTAGACCACCTATTCTGGCCTTCAGTCATTGCACTGAATACAAGTCTGAACTTGGTCAGCAAAATAGACAGTTTTCATCTCCTTTCTCCATGAATCAAGTGAGATGGAATCTGTCCTGAATTTTTGTTTTTTTTTTTTTTTTTACTTAGCTTTTGAGACAGGCCCATGGCGTCCCTTCTGACCTTCACCTTCCAGCTCTGTAGCATTGGTTCCTGTCACCTCTTGGGGTTTATCCAGGGTGGGTCCTAGGGGGAATCAAGCCAAGAGCCATCCTGTCATTCCCCAAGTCCAGTTAAGCACACCGTAGCAAGGATTAGTTCTCAAGTCTAAAGATACTCCACCATTCATTTCCTGCCCTGGAAGAGCCTGAATGCTGGAGTGACAAAGCAAGCTGTGTGGGATGGCACACAGCTTGGGTTCGCCTGCTAGTTCTGCTGCTCTTGGCACAGTGTGGTGGCCACATCACCTCACCTCTGAACCTAGGTTCCCTTGTGTAAATGCAAATAATGCCACTCTCCTCACAGGGCCACTGGGCTCCTCTCATCCCAGGAACCCAACTATAGGAAAGGCCTGACCAGCAGGAGATAGTCCTTGTCCTTGTGCCTTCTTTCTTTCTCAATTGTGAAACAATTGAGAAAGGCTTAAATGGCATGCACTGATTAACACTGCTGTACACCAAGTGGGTTTGTGTAGGCTACAGGACTCGGCATGAGGAGTTAACCAAGCGAGGAAGCTGAGGGTGTGGAGGGGGGACTGCCTGGCCTAGAGTTCAGAACCAAGAGTGAGCAGAATGAGAAACAGGGATGGTGACAGGAGTTGGTCAAGGTTTTAAGGTCTAAATATGGTGCTTCTGGAAAAGCCTGGAGGTATGGTTCAGAGGTCCAGGCCCACGTCCCCTTCTGGGCCCTGAAACTCCTTCCTGGTAGGCCTGAGGCCAGGAAGTCAGATGCAGGGCACCGCTCCCTCTCTTCCCCCAGGACGATGACCGTGGTGAGGAGTGGGAGCGGCACGAAGCCCTGCATGAGGATGTGACAAGGCAGGAGCGGACGAGCGAGCGGCTCTTTGAGGAGGAGATTGAGCTGAAGTGGGAAAAGGGTGGCTCTGGCCTGGTGTTCTACACCGACGCTCAGTTCTGGCAGGAGGAAGAAGGAGGTAAGGCCAGGTGTCCGTGGACTTTCAGTTACCGTGACAAATGCTGGGATGGATTGACTGCTAAAGAGGAAAGGGTTGGCTCAGTTTAGAGGCCTCAAGGCATAGCCTGTGGTGAGGCTTCAAGTTATGGTTGCAGTACATGGTACAGGAGGACAATTACCTCATGGCTGGGGTGCAGAGAAGAGCCCAGGGACCCATAGTACCTCTTGAAGGCACACATGAAGCCTCACCTCCTAAAGTTCCCATTACTTCCGCTGTGCCTGGAACTAAGCCTTTAACACATGAGCTCTGTGGGGGAGGATTAGGACTCAGACCATTAGGTTGGCGCCCAGGCACAGACTGTCAAGCCAGAGCTGGGGCCTTTGCTCTATGTAGCAGAGTTCCTGACAGCCTTAAAAATAAATAAATAAATAAAACCCCCCAAAAGCTAGGAAATGGCTTCCCTCCGATGTAAACCAGACCGGTCATCCCATTTTGGAATGATGAATTGGTGGGACAGAACCTGGAATGTTTGACCAGCCCTAGATTTAGCTCTAAACATAGCTGGGAGTCGTTGGGGTGGGGCATAGGGCTTGGTGGTAGAGCATTTGATCTTGTGCAAGGCCCTGTAGTGCACCGAAGAATTCATGCTTCTGGACGCTCTCACCCCTGCAGACTTCGATGAGCAGACAGCTGATGACTGGGACGTGGACATGAGTGTCTACTATGACAGAGGTACGGAGCCAGGGTGGCAGCCCGGGGAGGAGCTTGTGCCCTAGTCCTGTTTGTTAGCCACACGTGCTCGTCAGAGGTTAAGTCAGGGAACCAGTGTTCTCTCATGCTTGGTGTGCTCAAGAATGGTTCCAGAGCCCCCGTGGACAGCAAAATCTTAACACAAGGGTGTACGATTTGCCTAGACCTACACATATCCTCATAGTGCACGCCTTTACTCCTAGCACTCAGGAGGCAGAGGCAGGCAGATCTCTGTGAGTTCAGGCCAGCCTGGTCTACAGAGTGAGTTCCAGGACCGCCAAGGCTACACAGAGAAACCCTATCTCAAAAACCAAATTTGTCAAGGGCTGGGGCTACAGCTCAGTGTACTTTCCTAGCATATGTGAGGTCCTGGGCTCAATTCCAGCACCAGGAAAAAAACTTACTGTTGTACACTTGGAATTCCCATAGTGAGGAAGTTGGTGAGACATGAAAATTGTTGCAAGTTTGAGGTCAGAGTGGACTACAGAGTGAATGAACCAATAAATTATCTAGATATTTTCTAGACCCTGATGCAGTGTAGATGCGATGCAAATAGTATTACTCGGGGAATAATGATGGCGTGGGGGGTCTGTGTGTGTTGATCCAGATGGAGTTGCTGTCTGAGTAGTTCAGACTGTGCTTGGATCTGCAGGTGGAGATCAGGCTGTAGAAACAGGCTGACTGTCTACCTCTACCTGAGAACATTCACTACCTATAGTTGTAGTCTGTGTCCTCTCTCTGTGATGGGCCTGAGGGAATGGGTCTTGGGGTTCTGGGTAAACAGGCTCTAAATAAAAGCTTGTTTTTTTTTTTTTTTTTTTTTTTTAAAAAGGCTTGATTTTTAGTCAATTCATAACTCTGAAGTGAAGAATAACCTAGAATTTTGTTTTGCTTTTGTTTTTTTACTCTGTTTTGTTTCATTTTTTTTAATACAGGGTCTGTGTAGCCATGGAACTTGGTAGAACAGGTTGGCCTCAATCTCACAGAGATCCTCCTTCCTCTGCTTCCCAAATGCTGGGATTATAGACAGGTGCCATAATCATCCAGGCATGATGATGCAAGCCTTTAATCCCAGCAGTTGAGAGGCAGAGGCAGGTGGATCTCTGTGAGTTCAAGCCCAGCCTAGTTTACAAAGTGAGTCCAATACAGCCAAGACTACACAGAGAAACCCTATCTTGAAAAACCAAAAAAAAAAAAAAAAAAAAAAAAGAAGGAAAATAAAAGATATGTGCCATAATGCCTTGCCCCTTTTTGGATAAGTTTTTTTTTAATTGTATTAATGATTTTTGTTTTGTCTTGTCTTGTTTTTTTGAGCCAGGGTCTCACTGTGTAGCTCTGGCTGTCCTGGAACTCAAAGAGATCCACCTGCTTCTCCCTCTCAAGTGCTGGGATTAAAAGCCACCCTGCCCAACTGAGATTTATTATTTTTATCTTATGTGTGCTTTAAGTATACCATGTGCCTGGTACACCTGGAGCCCAGAAGAGGGCCTCAGATCCCTTCGAGCTAGAGTTACAGACAGTTGTGAGCAGCCATGTGTGTGTTGAGAAGTGAACCCAGGTCTTGTGGAGGCTCAGTACATAGTCTCAGCTGCTGAGACGTCTCTTCAGTTCCCAGTAGCCTGTGTTCTGACTTCACCTGTCAGTTCTGTAACATTTCTGCACTCTCCCTTGTAAGATGAGAGCTGTGGTTCCTGTCCTGCTGAGCTCCCAATCTCATAAGAGAGATTACAGGACATTATGAAAATGAATCAATAAGTCTTGTGAGGGGACCCCAGAAGCCTCATCCTCCTGGTGAGGGGCACTGTTTTACAAAGTGGGTTGTGGTCCCTCAGATGGTGGAGACAAGGACGCCCGAGACTCTGTCCAAATGCGCCTGGAACGGAGGCTCCGTGATGGCCAGGAAGATGGCTCTGTCAGAGGATGCCACGTGGGCACCTTTGAGCGCCACACCAAGGTAAGAACACTGGCTAACCTGCTGACACCTAATCCTTCTCTATTTCTCCTCCTGCCCCAAGGAACGCCTCCCTCTCCCTCTTTCCCTCCATCTTTTACTTCCTTTGAGGCAGGGTATCCATATGTAGCCCAGCCTGACCTTGAACTCAGATCCTCCCACCTCTGTCTCATGTAATGGCACATGCACCACCTTGTCAAACGGAAGCCACTTTTCTTGAGTCTCACTGCTTCCCTTTGCAGGGCATTGGCCGGAAGGTGATGGAGCGCCAGGGCTGGGCTGAAGGCCAGGGCCTGGGTAGTAGGTGCTCCGGGGTGCCTGAGGCCCTAGATGGTGATGGCCAGCATCCTAGATGCAAGCGTGGACTGGGGTAAGTGCGGCTGAGGGACCCCTGGGTCATAGTCCAGCTTTGGTGCTGTTTGGTTTCTGGGTTCCCCTCTTCCCATTGCTTTTGGGATGGGTACCGGTACCCCTATAAGAATATCTTCATAATAGAAGTACAAGAAATAGAGGACACTGTTATGTTCATTTTAAACCCAATCCTACAACTTAAATCATGGATTCCCCCCCGGGAAAGCCATTTCCTCAAGTCTGAGTTTGGGCTCAATAAGGAAGTCTGATGTGGGGATAAAAATTCCAAGGTTCCTGGTAGTTGGCACAGACTGTCTCCAGAGTTTGGAGAGCAGAGTTCCAGGTATAATAAGGCTTTGTCTTTGGTGCTGGGGGTTTGGCTCAGTGATGAGTGTTTGCCTGGCCCTGATCCAACCCCTATTAGTGTGAGGCAGTTATGTCTTACAAACCAGACATGTAGTTACTTTCTGTTTCTTGCCACCTCTCCCCTGGGGTTTGAAGAAAGCGGCCTTCTCACCATGAGCCCTGTTCCATCCAGGTACCATGGAGAGAAACTACAGCCATTTGGGCAACTAAAGAGGCCCCGTGGAACTGGCTTGGGGCTCATTTCCACAATCTACGATGAGCCTCTGCCCCAAGACCAGGGGGAGTCCCTGCTCCGGCGCCAGCCACCCACCAGCATGAAGTTTCGGACAGATATGACTTTTGTGAGGGCCTCCAGCCGTGCCTTAGACAGATCCTCAGAGCCTGAGTGAGGCTAGGTCGCTGGTCAGGATGTCAGCTGCAGGAACACATCCCTGGGTCTTGCCTTGTGGGCCTCTGAAGCAGCCAAGAGCCTGGAACGGGCAGTCTGCGCAGCAGGCTCAAACGAGAAACCCTCGAGCGTGCCCACCACTTCTCTACCTCAAAGATGTCACTAAAAGCCCCTCCTCCTGGGGCGTTCTTGCCTAAAGGCCTTTCCTTGGCCTCCGAACCCTAGTCCTTGTTTGGGCTTGCCTCAGAACCCTCAAGATCTGGACTGCCTGTGGCACTGGCAAGTCGATTTTGGGGGTCTCTGAAGGAGACTATCGTGGGACAAGGAAAAGGGACCAGAGAAGAACTGATCCAGACAGGGTGCGGCCGTTCCTCGCCCCCACCTCTACCCTCTGGCTAGGGACGGGTCTGCGCTGAAATAAACTAATTTACGACTAGACCAGGCCTGAAAGTCTGCCTTGGAGAAGCCTGGGAAACCCCAAGATTGACAAGGCGGCGGGAGAAATGCGGCTGCGTGATCGCAGCTTACGTCACCGTGTGGGCGGGACTTCCTCTCCAGACAAGTTCCGGCTAGGTCCGGAAGCCGGAGCTTTTCCTTTCCTTGCCGGGTAGTTTGGTTGATTTTCTGCGTGGGTCTCCGATTTAGTTCGGGAGGCGCCTTTGGGCTGGCCCGCACCACCCATGGCGGCCCCCGCCCCGGCTACGGCCTTCGGGCAGGCGGTGATCGGGCCCCCGGGCTCGGGGAAGACCACGTACTGCCTGGGCATGAGCGAGTTCCTGCGCGCGCTGGGCCGGCGCGTGGCGGTGGTGAACCTGGACCCAGCCAACGAGGGGCTGCCATACGAGTGTGCCGTGGACGTGGGCGAGCTGGTGGGGCTGGGCGACGTGATGGACGCTCTGCGACTGGGGCCCAACGGTGGCCTGCTCTACTGCATGGAGTACCTGGAAGCCAACCTGGACTGGCTGCGCGCCAAGCTGGAGCCCCTCCGAGGCCACTACTTTCTCTTCGACTGCCCCGGGCAAGTGGAGCTCTGCACGCACCACGCCGCCCTGCGCAGCATCTTCTCCCAGATGGCTCAGTGGGACCTCAGGGTTCGTCTAGGGTCGGGCAAGCCCATTATGCAGATGGAGTCCCTGAGACCGGGAGGCCGATAAATGCCACGCCCCCAAGTCACACTGCCAGAGAGGGACTGAGTTGAGTTTGGAGCAGATCTCAGGCCTCTGAGTTCCAATTTCAGCTCTGCCACCCGCCGCTGTGTGGTCTGGGAAAGTCCTTTCATCTCTAAAATGTTAGCTCTCAATTGGGGATTTAAAAAAGAAAAAAACAACGGTGGCCCAGCGATTGTTTATTTGGTGTGCATAAGTGTAATGAAAAAATTGGGAGGCAGGTGCAGTGGAATTTGAACCTGTGGTCCACTGTGGGGCTCTGTGCAAGAGACCTTGTAAGAGGGATGGGAGATTTATTTAGCTCAATGGTAGAGATAGCCCACTACCACCCTCGGACAGGGTTGTAGCCCCGGACTGTCCTGGAACTCACAGATCTGCCTGCCTCCACCTCCCAAGTGCTGGGATTAAAGCCATGCATCACCTCGCCCAGCACTGGTAGGAGTCTTGTCTAACAAGTAGCCCCAGGCTCCAGGTTTGTCCCTAGAATAGTAGGTAGGATGAAAAAAATGCCCCACGTCATCTGGGAGGAGCACATGCTGCTGGTCTTCAGAATTAAATACAAGAGCCAGAGAAGGTGGCACATGCCCGTAATTCCAGCACTTGGCATATGGAGGCCGAAAGAGCATGAGTTCCAGGCCATAGAACCCTGTCTCAAGCACACACATGTACAGGGAAGTAGAAGCAGGACAGTACTAAGGAAGGTACACACTGGGTCCTCAAGCTGCCAGTCTGACGAGGGAGGCATGGGCCCGAGTCCCCTCCCACGCCAGGTCAGTCTTCCCTCTCATCCTGTGTCTTCTGCTCACAGCTGACCGCTGTCCACCTTGTGGATTCTCACTACTGCACAGACCCAGCCAAGTTCATCTCTGTCCTGTGCACCTCCCTGGCCACCATGCTGCACGTGGAACTGCCCCACGTCAACCTCCTCTCCAAGATGGACCTTATTGAGCACTATGGGAAGCTGGGTAAGAGACTGCTTGGAGCTCGAAAGCAGCTGCCTCACTGCGTCCCGGACTTCTGACCTATTGTGGGCGCCACTGTGCCAGGCTGCAGAGGAGTTTAACAAGATGATAGGCTAGCACCTGGCTGAAGGAAGTGGATATCGGCTCACTGCTGAGGCCCTGCACCCTGACACTTGGGCGGTGAGAAGTGGCCAGCTGGAGGACTGTCCTAGCCAGTACAGGACAGTATGGACAGTGCAGGACAGAATAAATGCAGGAGCATTTATTCCTCCATGTTCTAGAGGATCGGAAGCCTTCTGACCTAGGCGTGTGTAGACCCAGGGTTGGGTTGTACGTGACCACCTTCACGTGGCAAGAAGCAGGGAAGATTGTCAGGAGTTGGGTAGTGTCCCAGTGGCCAGCATTTTTTGTCAATTATTTCTCTGCTCTGCTTGTGGCATTAGCGCCTTAGAAACTGAAGCCATAATGGAATAGAGAGAAGAAAGTTGAAATCCTTAGCGTAGTAGCAGGGAGGGAGATTAGGAAAATGACATGAAAGTGACCTGGCCTAGCAGGACATGGAGGGGTGTCGGCTTCTTTTGGGAGGCAACTTTCCAAGGAGCCCAAGATCTGTTAGCTGTGCTTTTCTTTTTTCTTTCTTTCTTTTTCATTCTTTTTTTTTTTTTTTTTTTTTTTTTTTTTTTTTTTTTTTTTTTTTTTTCAAGACAAGCTTTCTCTGTGTTGCCCTGGTTGTTCTGGAACTCTCTTTGTAGACGAGGCTGGCCTTGAACTCACAGAGATCCACCTGCCTCTACCTCCGGAGTTGCTGGGATTAAAGGCATGCACCTTCACTGCCTGGCTTTTGTTGTTTGTTTGTTTTTTAATTGGGAAGCTATTGGTAGAACCAAAGGTTTATGTTAGAGCATCTGTTCTGGGCTTACTTTAAGGAACTGTCTCAGGAAGGGAAGGTCCTTTACCCAAGAGGCCTTGCTGCTGGACTAAGCAGTAATTCAGTTTGGGTAGCATTTACTAAGTTCCCCCCCCCCCCCCCCC